GGACCCCGGGGGCCGGCTTCCCAGGTGACTCACTGGGTAACCCCAGGAAGACCGGCTTGGGAAGGTCCAGCACCAGGCTGCTCGTTTCCTAAGTTGCACTAACCACGGACCCCACTTCCTAACAGACAGTAGGTCTCGGTACAAATACGTATGCTTCTCCACCCATCCTGCGGACCACGCGATGGGGAGCCATCCCCACCCACCGGTATTCATCTTGTGATAAGGTGTGCATCTTACGACGGCTCGTGCAAAGCTCCACCACAAGTGGACAGAACATGCAGAAACACAGTGAGCCCACGATTCCTTCTAGCTGTGCCAACAGCTCCTCCCACACCTCCCCAGAGCAGCTCGTGGCCAGGGCTAGAAGGGGCCCAGGATGCTGACAGTAACGGCTGCCAGGGAGGGAGGCTGGGCCATGTCTCCCCGGCCTGACCGATTCCTCCTCCTCACCACCAGGGCCATGGGACGGCCGGAATACTGCAATCCTCCGGGGGGTGGGGGGGCGGGGAGGAGGGTAAACCACAAAGTCCAGGGCAGATCCCCAAACTGAGGGCAGATAGATAGCCCGGCGGCCAGAAGGCACTGCTTCTACCACCAAAGCAAACAAGCAAAAGAAGTTAAGATAATGATTAATCGCTATCACTGGACTTTGATTCCAGTGAGATTCAGCTGTTTAATCCATGCTTTAGAGAAGTGTCAAATGACTCTATTCCTCCCCTCCGCAACGCCGCCCAAAAGGGGGGAAGCCACTCATTTCGTTCCGTGACTCCGTTCGCAGAAATTCTAGAACTGGAACCGATGACCGGTGAAGACCACCTAGAAAGAGAAAGTCTACAAACTTCCCTTCTGTCTTCGACTGTGGCCTGCCTCACGGTCACAAGGAAGCGCCCAGAAAGCACCCAAGACTGTGGTGTTCCGTACGTGGGAATATACAACACAAGAAAAGAATTTTCCACTCCAGAGAAGTCACAGCCCGCCCTGCAAGGACCAAGGACCTCAGCTACACGTTACAGAAAAAAGCACAGACTCAGTAGTGCAATCTCTATTTGTACTATTAGAAGACAATTGGGGGGCGGGAAGCGGAGAACAGAAACATGCCCACAAAATATCACTCAAAAAAGACAGAATTAATTGCATCTTTGTCTTTCGTGATTTACCGTGTTTCTTCTCCAGACTTCTGGTCCGGACCCCTAATTCTTCCATTACATCATAAAGCAGGGAGACGCTGGGCGCAAGAAACTATGTAAACAGCCAGTCATTCTGGAAGGTTCTCACTTGCCATCAATCCTAAAAATATTAGTCCAAGAACACTGGACTTGAAGAGGAAAAATCCAGGTCACAGTCCCAAAGTCCACCCATTCGCTAACACTGCCCTTTCAAAAAAGGCAAATTTTTAAAGGCAAATTAGACACCGGGGAGTCTCTATTACCCCGTTCAACATTAACACTCTGTTTCCGTGATTTTAACTCTTAAAGTGTAAAATCCATTCATTCGACAAACAGGTACCGAGCACCAACTACATATCTGTCATTGTTCCAGGTACTGGAAATGCAGACGTTAACAAAAGAGACAGGAGTCCCCGCCACCTGAATGTAACCACATCTTTCCAACCCGCTTTGGGAAAGGATTTCCCTCGGAAACAAAGTAGCAGGGGAGGAGATGACATTTTACTACCTCTGGCAGAATGAGTCCCTCCACAGGAGATGCTGAACCTGCTCCCGAGCAGTGGCAAGTGAGGGAGGGACCAGCAGAGGTGACATCGTGAAGAAAGCAAGCGCAAGCTCCTTACAGGAAGGGGTGACCTCCAGCCAAGAGGAGGGAATCCCGCCCAGGACTGAACATCTTGCAAGAGAGGACAGGGACAGGCGTGGGGTGACAGCAAGCAGCATGGAGCGCGGTCTGTGTCGTCGGACGAAGAGAACCTTGGCAGAGCTGACGGAGTGGCCAAACCAGAAAAGCGTCCCAGAGGCCAGACACGTTCCTCATGTGGTTCTGCTCACTCTTGGCAGAAGAGGAGAATTTTAAAACGAGATCTCTGTTTACAGGCAAGACCGTCATCTAGAGGGCATTCAGCTCTAAGAAGCGCCTAATTTCCAAGGCCTCGGGATGGGGAAAGTCATTCCAGGAGAACGTACTGGGCGATTCCAAGAAATGGCACAGCTCCCAGAACTGAAATGCCCAGGAGAGAGGGGCTGGCTTTCCAGGATGTGGGGGGAAATGGGGTTTCGCCGGAAAGATGGGACGCTCCGCATGAAGCAGGCGGGCTCTGCGAATCTGGAGGCGTCCCCCTTGAACCCGATAAGCGAGGAGCGGGAGCACCCGGGCGGCTTTGGTTTGTGAAAATAGCCTCCTGAGACTCACCCGGATTCATTCTGAATCCAGTTCTTTGGAGTTGGGTCAGGGAAGGAACGGAGGGAGGTCCTAACCGAGGGCTTATTATTCTTTTTGAAAACTATTTTTCAATGGAGAGAAGTGAAGCGGTATGTTCTGATGAATGCCCCAGGACAAAAAGGGATGCTTGCAGGCTGGGCACGCGAAGGAGGGGAGGCCATGGGTCTGATTTCTATTCTCTCTGTTGATGATGATGATGATGTTGATGAACAACAGCTCCCACTTCCTGAGCACCCAGAAAGCGCCAGGTCCTGGGCCAGGTCCCTCCACAGCCCAAGCTGTTTCTCCTCCTCTTGCCAAACCAGACAAGTAGGTATTTTCACAGATTTCAGCTGGAGATACTGAGGCAGAGCATCTCAGCTCCCCAGACGTAGGGTGCAGAGTCCGATCCAGGTCTGTCCACCTCCGAAGCTGGACATGTTGCCTCCTTCTTACATTTTAATTTTCTTTTTTTTTTTCCCTCACTAAACTTGAGTTTCTAGAAGACTGGAACTTCATGTTCTTTCACTTTGGCTTCACTAACTCCACACCTGGCACATAATAGGTGCTTAGTAAATTGGCACTGAATACCTTAACAATGGAGTCAGCAGCCTGCATAAATCCAGCTGTCGAATTTTCTAGAAAGTCAGCCAGGTAGCCTTCCCAAACCCTCTGGTGGCTGTTCCTTGGAAAAAGGCCCACCAGGCAGGTGACACACAGGCCACCAGGTGGATAAATGCCAGACTAATTCCAACAAGGGAGGACACGTGTCCAGGCATGGGGACCGTGCAGGAAGCGTTACCCAGCAGGCCAGAGCCATGCCTGTGTGAGTCTGCCTGACCCTGTCAGGCCTACCAGGTCATCCCTGAGGTCACAGGATGCAATTCTGTCCCCAACCAGGAAGTATACTTGGGGCATCCCTGCCGTGAGAAATCTCTCTCCCTCTGAAAGCACACTCTTCCTCCATGCCAGAGTCTTTCTGGCTTCCCTGGCCCACCATGGATGCAGCTGAGCTTCCCAGGAGAAGACACGGCTTCATACATCCTAAGTCCCCCCCCTCGCTCCACATGGCGTTGCCCACAGAAACACTGAACGGGAGGAGTGGGGCTTGGTGGGCAGCTGGGCTCTGCACTGGGAAGAGCTCTATTTCCAGAGGGAAGATGAGAAGTAGGGTATGCTTCTCAAGTCATGGACCCCCTGCTCGCATCTCCAGGGAGCACTTAGCCCTTGACAGAGCCTGATTCAGTATCCCCTTGAACAAACTTTCCTTGTCTGCTATGTCCACTGCCCTGCGGGCTGGTCAAAGAGTAATTCGGAGAGACAGAGTGTGCAGGGGGCGGGGGGAGGGGGCGTGATACAAGAACATTCGCTGGGATCGCTTACACAATCCTTACACCACAGCCATGAGCTGCATGCTATCACGCCCATTCCACAGATTAGAAAACCGAGGCTCAGAGAGGTGAAAATACACACCCGGAGTCTCATAGCTACTGGTGGACCCTCAGTTCCTACCCTGGTGAGCCTAAAACTCCAACATTCTTTTTAGTTCCCCCCCCCCCACCACCAAAGATTAAAAACGAAAACGTGATCCCCGGTCTCAACCTAGAAAGAAATGGGAAAGACAGACACGTACTTGACAAACTAAAAAACAAAACAAAGTGTGAGTTTTCAGGAGGGAAAAAAAAGAAAAAAAAAAAAAAAACCGCAAGAGAAGATCCAAGGGGAAGCAACTTATTCAACGGGCAGCGGGGGGCATCCAGGAAGGAGGTGACAGCATGGGGGTCAGTGCACGTCACCTACAGCGACGGAAGGACCCCAAGGTGTCTGGACAAACAGAATGGTGTGCCCACGCTGTGTTCAGAATAAAAACAGCGGCTTCACAGAGAATGGGCAGAGGGCACAGTCAGTGGGGAATATGATTCGGTGTCCGGCATTATTTTTATAAAATACATCCACGGTGATGGAAGGACCATCAGCCTGTGCCCCCATCTCCTCCGGTCCGTGCGCCCATCAGAACCAAATGCAGAATTGGTGGGTGTCGCTTACCACTCCCTGGCATGTTCCGTGGGAAGCGGTGCACGGCGCCGGGAGCCACCGGGCAGGCTCCTAGCCGCCCCGCTGGCACCCAACTATTTACCCCACTGAAACGTCAGCTCATCGGGAGGATCCCAGAGAGGTTTAGCCAGATGTGTGCGTACAGTGCCCGCCCGCAGGTAAGAACCAGGAGTCTGGAGAACCTGCTCAGAGATGGGAGCAATTCACGGCGGGGCGTATCTAACATCAGCCGTGGCAAGAGAAGCAACAGAGGCAAACTTGTTAATGGACTTCTGAAGGCAGCAGGGACGGTGGCTCGCTTTCCTTATGAAAACCTCCAGCTTGAGATCTGCCTTCGGGGATAGGGTTTAGCATCGTAAAAGAAAAATAACTCATTCTAAAAAATATTCACCTGCAAGGGCTGGTTAACTGAGGGTTAAAAAAAAAACAAGTTAATTTAGGTAAGTCGTAATATAATGGGGAAAAGCATATTAGACTTTAGGAGAGAGCGTGTTGTGGTTCTCTACCTAAGGGAGACCTAAGGATACTCTTTCATCACTGATCTTAATACTGAATTATATCTAAGTTGTACCCACCGCTTCCAAAAATGGATTGATACTTCTTTGGATGGACGCAAAGGTCCGTGTGTTCTATGGCCAATAAATTAAAACCTCGCTGTGCACTGCTGTGTCCCCTGGGACTGGCATGGCCTAGAAAAGCAACAGATATACATCGAATGAATGTAAGAAACAGGAAAAGTGAGGAGCAAAAGTAAGAAAAGCCAACAGGCTGGAGGAACACAGGACTCATGGGGATAAAGCCCTCTACGAGCGGTGAGCATCCTGACAGCAAAGGAAACGTGAAACATTAATGGGGTCCAATGATCCGCTAAAAGGGAACAGGCCAGCATGGCATGAGCCGTCCGAGCATCAGGAAAGTGAGCCGTAAGAGCTGAGACCCGGGGATCACAGAGGGTGACGTGGAGTGTTTCCGTGCCAACGGGGAACTGGGAACAGGGAGGTCCGAGGTTCGCCTGACTCTGGGAAAGATGGAGCGAGCAGGTGCCTCAATGGCTTTTTGTTCTGTCTTCCTCATGCAGACAGATACTCTTCCGAGTGCAAAGGATGGAGCGGGCACAGGTCCAGGATAGGGGAGGAGGCTGCAGGGGGTCCAACCTATTTGGCTGCTTCTGAGGACAAGGAAAACTCAGCATCTACCTCAAAAATCTCATTTTGATGCACTGAAAACTCTAAGGAGTCGGAAGGACAGGAAGGCACAAGCAGACCCTGGAGGACGGGGGGTAACTCCAGAGGCCAAGGGGGTCGGAGCCCACCGGCTGGGGCCAAACTGGGCTCTGCCACTCCGCAGGGGGTGATCTGGGTGACTCTTCTGACCCCTGGGCCTCAGTTTCCTCCCCCTGCAAATACAGGATAACGAGAGTGCCCACCGCATAGCACAGTTAGTTGGATTCACTGGTTAACAGGTGAAGAACCTGTTTTTGTAACAGGGAAGTCACCTAAACAGGTACGAAACAGAGGACATAGGCAAGAAACCATGGCCTCCCTTTCTGAAGGTCTGTGATATTGTCATTTGAATGGATACTGCAGAAGCAGCATTAATCACGTGGGCAAACACGATACTTAGATGTGGCCTGAATGCATTTCGTTTTCCAAAAGGCAAAAAGATGTCACTCTGTGGGAGAACGATTATGGATGGTTTTCCTCCTAGTTTTTTGCCATCTCAGCCCTAAGAAAAGGTGTTTAGGCATGGCGGGAGGGTGAAGGAAATCAAAATCATACTCAACGTCGGCTTCAATATCCCACCAGAGGCCAATATTCGTTACTATTCAGGATTCTGTTGAACACATGAGAAAAAGGACTTTATCTTTAGGGGACAGCATCATTTCCCTATGAGGGCAGGATGCTAAGAAAGTAAGAGTTATTTTGATGTGTGCATGCGCGTGTGTGCATGTGTAAAGCAGGTAAAATGTTGATGATGTTCTCATGGATAATATAGTAAAAGATGGACATCCAATGAACTATGACAGGAGCTGGGTCCAAAAGCTACAATCGACAGGAGTCTTGCCAGCTAACTTTCTGGTTTCGTCCTCTCTCATCCCACCTCAAATGCCCCTGACACCCCTTAAATGGCACCATGGGAAGGGAAGGTCTTTGGTCACCTGGAATTACCAGAGCCTCCCTCCTGGAGGGTAGGGGTGGGAACTCAGGACCTTTCGGGAACCCACAAGTGCATCTATGGTATGTACATTCAGAATTCCTTAAGAAATGATCTATTAGAAACAAGTATGAGCAAGGCACCAGAGCAGAACCTTCAGCATAAGTAAGACACGGTTCTTCTACTCAAGAAACACACGATCTCAGGAGAAAGGGGGAAACGTGGTCCATAAAGTAACACTTACTCGTAACAGCTTATACAACAGGTGCATGCTACAAGAGTCCCCTAAATTACCTCCAAATTTGAAGATGCACGGACATGGCTTCGATTCCAATTTGAGCACTGAGTGACCTCTCAGTCCCTTTGGGCAAGTTACCAAACATCCCTGGCTCAGTTTCCCGATCTGCAGCTCTAACAACTCCACGGAAAACACAGAAGACACACGGGAGGTTTTAGCACGGGACTCCAAGTTATCACTGTCCTATTAGTGTTTTTCACCGTACTTATGTGAGATGGGTATTTGCTATTGGAGAATCTAAACCATAACGTGGTTCCTAAGTCGCCCACGGTCACGGGGCACCACCACTGGAAGAAACAAGAGCCAAGAAATATCTGGCCCCGAGCATGGCCACCCCCAACATCTGTGACATTGGCCAAGGCTCCCTGCAGGGGAAGATAAAAAACCCTTCATCTTCTCTACTGACCTTCTTTTCTAACTCTGGTCTCTTCCACTTGGCAAACAGATTATCCAGCCAACTGCTGGAGTCTGGTGTCTCCACGGGAGCCCTGGGTCCCTGGATGTATGACTCTGGGCGCCATGAACAATGTCTGCAATCCATCTTGGGAGGCTTCACTGTGATGCTCACACATTCCTGTCTCCAAACGGACCTCGGTCCCGAAATGAACACGCACACAAACGACCACACAGCTCAGCCTCAGTGGCAGGCAGGAAGAGCCAACAGAAACAGTTTTTGTTTTTTTTTTTTAAGATTTATTTATTTATTTGAGAGAGAGAGAGAGAGAACACGAGCAGAAGAGGATAGGCAGAGGGAGAAGCAGGCTCCCTGCTGAGCAGGGAGCCCAACATTGGGCTTGATCCCAGGACCCCGGGATCACGACCTGAGCCGAAGGCAGATGGTTAATGACTGAGCCACTCAGGTGCCCTGGTCTTTTCCATTTTAAACGAGCTGTTTCTGGGGCACCTGGGTGGCTCAGTTGGTTAAGCATCTGCCTCCTGCTCGGGTCATGATCCCAGGGTCCTGGGATCAAGTCCCACGGTCCTGGGATCAAGTCTCACATTGGGCTCCCTGCTCCACGGGGAGCCTGCTTCTCCCTCTGTCTGCCACTCCCCCGGCTTGTGCTCTCTCTCTCTGATGAATAAATAAAATCTTTAAAAAAATAAAAAACATAAAATGAGAAAAGACCAAACTTCGAGAAACCACAATCCTCTGAAACCTCACGTTATCAAAAATACGGTCAAGAGAAAGCTAAACCCAGAATGACTGTGTTACTAATTCCATCCCTAAGTATAGACCCAAAGGTCCTGAGAGCAGGGACTCCAACAGGTACCATACACCTGTGTCTCCCGCTGCACCATTCCTGGGAGCTGTGGGTGGACGCAGCCCGGTGCACACGGACAGACAGACAGACCAACACGCAATGTGTGTGCACCGCAGAGGAGGATCAGCCACAGAAGGAATGAAACTGGGATACACGCTATAACGAGGATGAACCTCGAAGACCGTGCTCAGTGAAATAAGCCAGACACAAAGAAGAAATAATATAGGATTCCATATCCGTCAAGTAACTAGAAGAGGCAAAATCACAGAGACGGTAGCATAGAGGTTACCAAGAGCTGGGGTGGGGTTGGGGATTATTGCTTCCATACATACAGACTTTCTGTTTGGGCGACACAAAAGTTTTTGAAATAGATGGTGTTAATAACTGCCCAACACCATGACTATAATGAACGCCACGGAACTGTGCACTTAACAACAGTTAAAATGATCAATTTGATGTCATGTATATTTTACCACAATAGAAACATATCTGTAAAACACTGTCAAGAGCAATTCTAGCTATTGTAAAACCACCGACTTTTAAAGGAAAACGCAACCCTTCCTGCAGGGTGTGGCTGGGAGGTGCCTGAAGCATTGTGACGACGATCACACAAAAATAAGCTGCTTACGTTGGAACAAGCTAATAAACAGGAGAGCACTAAATCCTCTCTGCCAGAGAGAAAGAACAGGTCAAGGAAAGTCACAATGAGCCTTTTGTTTGAAATACCAGGTCCCCTGCAAAGAACCAGCTAAGTTGACCTCAAACAATGGCACAAACCTTCAGGCCTCTAATCAGAGCATCCGAGGGGGCCCTGCAGATCACAGGAGGCAGAGAACAGCCCCGGACCTTTGTCAGATTCTGTCCTGTGGGCCCAGGGCATCTTGTTAAGAGGAACCCGAGCTCGAACCTGGTGTCAGATGCAAAGTGGGGAAGGGGAGGCTCGGAGAGGCAGGGAGGAGGGCCCCGCAGGGTCGGGGGGTGGGGCGGGGTTCCTGCAACCCCCAAGCCCACTCAGTCCAGACCCGGGGCTGGGGGCGCCACCGGCAGAGAAGAGCATGGTGGCATTCGGACACACTTGACAGAGGGAGGTGTGCCTTCCTAGCCCAATCCCAGACCTCGAGCCTCGGCCACCGCCTTGTCCAGCTCTGTCGCCACATTTCCCATGTGCCATGAGTGTCCGTGGTCCAAACACACACAGCATGCTTTCCCCTGCGTGCCTTCTGCCAGTTTTCCTATTTGATTGTTTCTCTTACTTAGAGGGCTTTTACGGGGCGCCTGGGTGGCTCAGTTGGTCAAGCGACTGCCTTCAGCTCAGGTCATGATCCCAGGGTCCTGGGATTGAGTCCTGCATCGGGCTCCCTGCTCTGCGGGGAGCCTGCTTCTCCCTCTCCCACTCCCCCTGCTTGTGTTCCCTCTCTCGCTGTGTCTCTCTCTGTCAAATAAATAAATAAAATCTTTAAAAAAAAAATAAAAAAATAAAAAAATAAACCAAGGCTCCTAATAGTCTGCGTGCTAAATGCCCTGCAATGATTTGTCCCAGGCCGGAGTGTGCAGGTTCGTGTTTGGAAGGCCGCTGTGCCCCTGCACAGATGTGTATCTGCCGTGTCCTCAAACACCATTTTTCCTTTACAGTGGTGCTGAGTCTTACTGAGGAAATTCTTTCTTAGCCTGAGGGCACAAGGATTCTCATGACTCATTCTGATTTGAGTAAGTTTTTAGAAAATGCTGTTTTCTACTCGTAGTGATTGAACTGGCCTGAAACTGATGATTAAGGATAGGATGGGGGCAGGGTTCCAGTTCCCCTCCCCGCACCCAGCCCCGTGGGTCCTCGCTGCTCTGCTGGGACTTCTCCGAGCTGCACCGAGTTTCCATAAATGTGTGGGGCTCTTTATAACACGTCTATTCTGGTGCTCAGGTCAACGCATCCTTGAATCATTAACACGCTTTCCTAATTGTGATGGCTCCTGGAGAAGCT